CAAATATAAATTGAATGTGGAACTTACCTGTTTAAGAACAGCTGCAGTCAGTTTTCTCTTTCCTTTCTCTCTGAAGAGCAGAGACAAATAGAATTTGGTATCAGGAGAAATACAAAACCAGCATAAAGTTATCACCTTAAAAATTAATTGTTTTCTTGAAACAAAAAGAAAGAAAAAATTGGACATCGGAGTTTTTTTTAAAAGGAACAGACATTTCATTACTAAAAATGTCACTTTGCCAAAAAGAGAGGAAAGCTATTCCGGATTTTTTTTTCAGTAAGTCAAACATCTATATTAAATAAAAATGACTTAAAATACTCAAAACAAATTTTCATGGTAAAATTAAGAGATAGAAGCAATAAGTTTCAAAAGACATGCAGTGAACCATGATACCCAAATGTCAGCAGTTATATACAAAGACAAATTTATACAATTAGCATAAAATTGAAACATTATTAGAAGAATCAAGAGCTCCTATCAGCAAAAGACCTACTTTACTTTCCTTGAAAAAATTTATACCATAGCCCACCTTAAAAGGCTTTATCTTAAAAAAAAACCCAAACAATCTTTTCACTGTAATTTACAAGCCTGTGTAGAGGTTTATATCAGCTACTGCTACAACCAGACTACTTTCAGCATTTATACTAGATACCAGATATTTATAGCTCACAATTTATGAAGAAAAACTGCCATAAATGTCTCTTTAGACACCAAAAAGCTCATCTTTCTAGAATTCAGCTAAGATATTGTAGTTTAAGAAAACAGGAGTTAAAAAAATAATGTAAAGGGTTGTTTTTGAAAGGGGTGCATAAAAAACAATATCCCTCTGTTTCAGATAAAATACAATATTACTAAGAAAATCCTTTTAAGAGATATAAATTATTTCATTACTTCATTAATCAATAAACTGGATATTCTATTATGGAACTAATATTTGATAGTATTCATGTCATAAAATAACAGTTAATTTATAAACAACTTTTTGCCTAATGTCTCTTCAAATGCAGATCAGTATGCAGAAAAATTATCTAAAAATCGTATTTCCTTTTATGATATGACTGTTAACCAAAAAAAGGTGTAATAGGCTTTGGACATAGAGAGGTATTTGGACAGTTACTGAAAGATAAAAACCAACAAAACAAAGTACAAAAACAGATGGGGAAAATCTGAAAAGGAAACAATATCCAGCTGGTATTTATAGTGAGAGAAATGAGCTGAGCTTTAAAGGAGATGGGCTCTCAGTTGCCATAGACCTTGGTGCCAAAGCACAAAAGCCAGTGCTGAAAGTCATGTAAGCACACTGCAATTATTGCTGCTTCTGGAGGGAACAAGAGGTATGAACAGAAAGAGGACATTTAGTGCAGGAAAAGCTCAGAGTGGCAAAGATCAGGTAATTTGCAGAAGTTGTTCAGAATCACCAGCAGAAACTCCTTTCTGAAGTACTATTTGATATCAACCAGCTCATTTTAGAGGAATATAGTTTGCTTCCTTGGGAAGCAACACTTAGGCTACAACTTCCTGAAGGGCGGTTGTAGTCAGGAGGAGGTTGGTCTCTTTCTCCAGGCAGCAACTGACAGAACGAGAGGACAGTCTCAAGCTGCATCAGGGGAGGTATAGGTTGGATATATGGATAAAGTTTTTCATGGAAAGAGCCATAAAGTTCTGGAATGGCCTGCCCAGGGAAGTGGTGGAGTCATAATCCCTGGATATGGTACTCAATGCCATGCTTGAGTTGAGGTGTTGGGGCATGGGCTGGACTCAATGATCTTGAAGATCTCTCCCAACCTAATAATTCTGTATCTTAATGTCTCCTGTCCTGCAAGATGGAGAGCATCAGGGGGAGCCAGCAGAGATTCTGGAGCCTCTTTGTACTCTTGCTTATTCTGAATATATCTTTAGAATTGGGAATAATACTGTCACTTAAAAAAAAAAAAAAAATCCAACCAAAACCTAACCAAACAAAACACAAACAGAACTGACACAGTTTTTATCATTTGTGACCAAAGATCAAATAGGGCTTAACAAGTTCTTTATATTTAATCCTTTACAAAAAATCATTATTGTATTGACTGACTATACCATACCAAATAGTTTATGGCCCTAAAACTTCCCTTACGGATAAAATTTACAGGAAACTTTGCCCCTTGGAACTAGCCCCTCGTCACAGCTCAAGATGAAAACACTGGGAGAAAATAAGGTGTTACATGTTTGACTTTAAGTTAAAAATACATACAAATGTAAACCTTAATATCCTCACAGAGAGAAGAAACTTAAAGATCAGAGCTCATACTTCAGTAGATGCCATGACAGAAACCAGAGATGAAACCCTGCCCTTCAGTTTGATCTCCAAATGAGTAAAAAAGATACTTATGGCAAATACTATTCTAATAAATGCTGTCAGATGGAGCCACAGCATCAACATATCCAAAACCCCTCCTTGAATGTGTGTTCATAGAAACACTGTACCTGAAATATAGTCATTACAGAGTATTGCCAGATTCTGGTGAATTGTAAAAGCAAAAAAGGCAACATAATTTCTAGGGTAATTTTTGTGCTCATACCAATTTTATAGCAGGTAACAGAACACAAGGATGAATCAAATCATAGTTTGCCAATCCTGCCCATCTCCTTTATTTTTTTCCTTAGTGCTGTCTTTGTCCTTCTACTTCACCATCCACGGACAGTGGCCCTCTGATTGCAAAGAGCGTCCCTGGGGGACAAAACAGTAAGGTTTTAACTGCACCATGAAGATCTGGTTTTTAGCTAATAAAAATCCATTTGTCTTTGCTTCTTTGGACACCTGGAGAGCTATGATGTTTCTGGCAAGGTTGAACACTCATAAGTAAAAGGGAAAAATTTAGGGTGAGACAGTAAAAGAGCTACAAGGATCTTATTTCAGAAGAGGAATTGGGGGAATCTGAAAAGAAAGTACATTTACCTTCATAGCTCAGAGACAGCTCTTCAGCTGTGCACACCACAGATTTTATTCAAGATTGAACAGTTTTGCTTAGGTTTATAACTTCCAGCCTTCATTGTGATGCTCTGTAAGTCATATTTTTTTCAGGTCAAACCACAGACCATGCAAGTCTTTTAAAGTTCCTGTTCTTTAGAAATAAGCCATAAGGCAACCTTTTCTCTTATCACAGCTTCTTCAGATCAGAAAAATGCCCACACTATCTGCACAAACTTCCTGGTAGAGGCTATGAACAGTACAGAGAGTGTAAAAGACCTGCTAAGACAACCATTGCAGGCTGGGCAAGACAAAGATAGGTGCTATTGGAAGAGGTGGGTCTCAGATCACAACTATTACTCATACAATAGGAAAACCGGCCTTATTATGAAATGATTTTAATTTTTTACAGATGAGTTGGCTTTATGTGTGAAACAACAAAGCCTGGATTTTATTTTTAATCAAATCCACACATAGAAGAGCTGGTAACAACAAATCAGGAACATAATTTTCACAAAATATTAGTGAATTTTTCAGATTATAAAATTAGTAAAATTGTAAAAAAAACCAGATATTTTTAAATTTGGAATATTTATTAGCTATAAAGTGGCTAGTGCCAGCTAGTTGTGCCCCTCCCTCAAGGATTGAACCAAGTGGAAAACACAAGCTCTAGTACAAAGTGTAGTTATTTCATGTCTGTTCTAACAGGAAGTTAGTTTTACTTCATCTGAAGAAGGTACCTTTAATGAAGAGTAATTCTGTCAACAGGAAGCTACAGGGCCCCGTCATGACACGGTAATATCCTAGAGATAACTAGGTTTTCTCTGTTAGCTCTGCAGTTCAGTTCTTAGGCAGGATGTATGTTTTGGTATGATGTGATTATAGAAGTGTGCAGTAGTCTAAGGAGTTCCAATTTATGTTCTTTTTGGCAAGGGACCAACTTCTTAGACAATTAACAACAACCCTAAACACTCTGTTAAAAGACATCCTTTGAGCAACATTAGTAATTTCCTGTGTATGTGCACATAGGATTAATGGCAAGATCCATACTGATGGATTACACAATGCACGTGCACATATTCAATCCTACCTTCTAGGCTTGGAGTCTGGCAAAAATGGGAGCTGCTAACCACTACATAATGTTGATGTCAGTACTCCTGCAAAACTCAGATATTTTAATGAAAAAAGCTTATCCTTAATTTAAAACACAGCATAATATTGTTTTTATTTGTGCAGTTAGACTATTTTCTGCCTTAGAGTAAATCTAAAAATAACCTGATTAGGCACTGTTAAAAACGAAAAACAATAAACACACATCATTTTCTGAACTGGTGACAATGATTTGACATTTCACCTTTCCAGCTGGCAAGGTCCTACATTTGCTAAATAACATCTATGGACCTCTCCGAGGACAGTATAGGTCGATGACTACTGAATTCAAGTCAGCTGCACATAACCAGCTACGTTCTAAATCACACTATGTGTGTCACTACACTGTTATTATCCAGTCAAAAACCAGTGCATACCCAGCAACTGAAGAAGAACCAGGATTTGGGGGCAGTGTATTTTCCATACACGTCCCTCAACAACACAGCTCAGCACAAGTGTCAAATACAAAACACAAAACTATTTTCTTCTGACTAAAGAAAAAGCAAGCCTACCATGGGCAGCATTATTAGGTATCCTGGCGTGTTTTGAGTTGGGTGACTTTTCCTGAGGAAAAGCAATGAAACGGAGTGCCCGGCTTAAGAGAGGGCAGCGGTACTTGAGCACCTGAGCGTTCATCTCCGCTATTAAAACCTGGCACCAGAGTTTAAGCGCTGTAGCCACCTATTCGGCGCTCCCTTCGGTTCGTAGGCAGGCTGCACGGCAGCGGTCAGGGCCGAGCAGCGCGAAGAAGTCCCACTCCTTCTTCATCTCGGCCGAGACTACGAGCCAGCCGCCGGCAGCGGCAGGCGGCCCCGCAGCGTCCCGCCGCCCCGCTGGCAGGCAGGCCCGGGGCGCGGCGGCCCGAGCGCGCCGGGCGGGGCGCGGCCGCGGGCGGCGCCGCCCTTGCCGCCTCAGGAGCGGCGGGGAGCGGCTGTGGGGCCGCGCGGGGTGTGTGCGCCTGGCTGTGAGCGTGTGTGTGTGTGTGTGTGTGTGTGCAGCGGGCAGCCATGCGGCGCTGGGGGCTCCTTCTCTTGCCGGCGCTCCTCGCCGGCCTGGGCTCCGTCACAGGTGAGGAGGGGTGGGGGGGCTGCAGCTCCGTGCGGGTCGGCGGAGCAGTCCCGGCAGGGAGCCGGGCGGGTCCCTGGCTGGCCGTGTCTCATGGACCGGGCAAACAGCGCTCTCCCTCTGCAGGCTTTTATTCCCCCCCACCTTCCTCTTTCTTTTCATTTAACTCGCTGGAAAAGTATTCCTGAGCTTTCTGCCCGCCTTCCGCGCTGGAGCGGACTAAGCAGTCAGCTATCATCTGCGGAGAGTACGCGGTCTTCGCCCCGGTAGCGCCCTTGGTGCAGGCTGGTCCCCGAAGGGGGTTTCGGGTGTGGGGAGCCCGGCTGGAGCGCAGCTTCCATTTTAGGAAGGAAAGCGGAGTCACGGCAGTCCCAGGGCATCGGATAGTTACTCACCAGAAAGTCTGCCGTCACACGACAGCCTTTAAAAAGTAATTATGGCAAAACCGCACAGCGAAACACACTGGTGTATTTTCTGAGAAGCTTCTCGTTGCTTCAGTATGTATCGGGGACAATTTTCCTGAACCCTGATCGAAAAAAAAGTCTGTATGCCCCTTGGTATTTGGTAAAAATAAGCAGTTTTGGGTGGAGAAAGTAGTAAAGCCCCCGGTACGAAGGTGTTTTTTCCAGGCAGAGGACTGCTGAACTGCAATATGCAGTCCAAACTGTCGTTTCCCATTCATATGATTGTTTTTAAGACATTTCTTTTTTCTTTTACTATGTTAATAAGCATACTTGTTGCTATGCCTAGGTTTGTTTTTATTTTTCAGGAACTTCATAAAAGAAACACCTTAAGTCTTAAATATCTACCTCTTCACTGTAAAAGAGAAGGAAAAATGCATGTTCTTAGCGTTGATTGGAAGCTGTAGATAGTGCACATGTGATGCCAGATAAGCAGTTTTGACAGCAAGGCTTGAATTCAGTTCGGCTGTGGCCCTGTTGTGGTCTTGATTTGCAGGGTGGAAAAGCTGAGCTCTTGGAAAAAAGTACAATTTTGTGGAAACCACCTTTAAAACTGGCAGATGATGCAGGCTACATTTATCCTCTTAGTACTTGTGTGGAAAATTTCCTCCTCTACTTCTGCAAGCAGCCCTCATGGTTGTGGACGGCAAGATCTTTGCTGTGATGCTCTTCACACGTGGAAGTATTTAGGGCCACTGAGAAACAGTGTCTTCCTATACTTCACCAAGAATTGTGGAGATGAAAAGAGATGTCTGGATTGTGCTTTACTGGAGGGGAGGTGCACAACTGTCTCTACGAGTTTTGTTTAGAATTCTGAGGAAAATTATACTACTACTAAAAACAATCTAAAAGATTGCTTTAGAAAGCTAGTGAATATATATGAATAATGGTTAGCGTCAATAATGCAAACCGAGTAGATAGTTACAATTAGTTTGGACACTTTTTCCTTAAACAAAATATGTAAGAATTTTAGAACTGCAGAGAATGTCAGCCTGGAGAGGGTGGGGTCCTCCAGGGGAATTTCAGATTTGTGCTTAGGCTGTCTTAAATGACAAAAGCAAAACCTGAATTACGTGCTTTTGAAAAAGTTAGTTTCACTGTTGGTGAATTTACAGAACTTCTACAGAAAGTTAATCTTGCTTTATCAGCAATTCAGTCATGCAACTCTGTGGAGTTGACTGTTTTCACTGAGGGACTGCCTGCTTTCATGATTCAAGCAGAAGAATCTGCTCTGGACTGATAACTTGTTATGGGATCATCCATTTTAGGCACAGGAAATTTGTTAGTGTTAAATCAATATTCAACATATCAACAAGGATTTGAATGTCTTATTAGGCAAGGGTGAACTGTGTTATTTGAGCTTTCTTAGAGCTCACAGTTTTAACCTAGAAGCTGCTGTTTAAGTGTTGTCTCGTATGCCAAGTATGAACTCTGCCAGTCTGGCAAAACTGGAATTTAGATACCATTGGGGCTGTATCCATCAAAGGTTAAATGTAAGATTTTATATCACCAGTTTCTATAGGCAGTCTGACAACCTGCCCCTGCTGAGGACCAGGATCTCTATTTCTCTTCCTTTTTTTTTGGTCTGGTGCCCATCGAGGCCTGCACTGAGATCATTCAGCTTGGTAAATCAGCAAATGACTAATCTGCATTGAGTCTGCTGTGCTGAGTGTTCGGCCCGAGTTCCAGCCTGCACAAGGGAGTGGCAGGGCCTAGCATGGGAGAGTGGAAATGAGGTGGGGACAGGGAGGAAAGGACAAGAGGCTTCCTGTTGTGGCTGGCTGTGAGGTAAGACCAACTTAGCCATCTAATACCTGCAAAATCATGAGGTTAGCCCTGTGTCTTAACTTGAGGTATGTGATTTTCAAAATACAATGCAAAAAAAAAAAAAAAGCATTAGGCAGAATGAGTTCTGTACAATGTGTATGAAGACCACAGCAGGTGAAGAATCAAACAAAATTAAAAAAGCCTTGCATGATACTCTACACATGAACTTGGTGATATTAGAGGTTTAAACCAAGCTCAGTGATTCTCTGTGATTCTGTGCATGATGAGCAGCAAAAAACAGCTGCATTCAGACACAAGGCTCAAAAGTCTCCCATATTCTACTGGAGAAAGATCAAAGCATGAAAAGCTGTCTGCTTACTGTGGGTCTGGAGTTTGGACTGGCATACATGGTTTAAGTGTCTGTTGCAGGAACTGGGAGGAACTTTTTGATTGAAGCACAATTGCCAAAAGGACATTCAGAGGTGAGCAAAATACAGGCTGGAAAATGATGTACCCATGTTGTAAGATCAGTAGCCTAGGGTGAAGTGCAGGTGGAGATCCCTTCTTTCTAAGACCTGTGTAATTAGAGGGCCCTGAGCAAGGGAAGGAAACACTTGTGCTCCTGACTTCTTGCTGAGGCAAGTCAATGTTGAAAGAGATGACTAGTTGGGTGGAAGATGGTGAAGTGGTCCTGTCTGTAATCCAGCAGATGGAGCTTTCAGCTGGGACAGAGAGGTGCTGCAGGGACTCCTGGAGACTGAGCTCTGCTTTGTGGGCTCTGGAGTTGTTTGCCTTTTAAATCTGACTTTTGAAAACCTAAACAAAGCCAATAAAAAGCCAACAAACCCCATAGTTTTCATTGGAAAAATTTCAGTAGCAGTGCTGGAATGCATACATGGCAGCATGAACTTTAAAAATGCAGCACGTGTTTCTCCATCTATTTTCTCTAATGTGAAATGGCTATTTTTTTTAATGTGGTGTTATATAAAATGGCCACTGCACTATTATATCAAAATTATGTCACTGCAAGAATCCATAAGCTTTCCTTAAGCTGTAGCTCTTAGTTATAGTGATTTAACTTGGCAAGAGCTAAGTGTGACTCAGCCTACTGCCATCTAGCCGAGACCAATTTCAATATTTTCCTGATGTTACTTGGGTTCATATGATTGGGTTGCCTGTGCTTGAGACTCTTGCCTGCTTTAACTCTTGCCGTCTTGAACTTCCCACTGAAATGACCTTGCATTTCATCAGGTGTCAGCTATGTTAGAAGATGCAGTGATATTAGTAGCCATTGGTTAAGATCATTTTGATAGGAGCATACCAATTTTTTCTAGCCTTCTGCAAACTGCTTTTGCATGCTCTGGCACAGGAACCTGCTCTTTGGAGTCTAGTAAAAATGTTTTGAGAGAAAGTTATGAGCAAAACAGTCTCAACTCATGGGACTTTTACTTACATTTGCTGTCAGTTAAAGGCAAACTTCTAATCAGTGAGTTTGAGAATAGAGAGAAAAAAATTGATCCATCAAACCCTAAAGGCTCTCCCTCTTCCCTGCTTTAATTTTAAACCCAAACAACCCTACCCACTCTATATCATCATCCCTGGTTTTCACTGCAGGTTGTGTTCAGCCCATCTTCTAATTCTTTGCTGGGGTAACATGCAGAGCCAGAAGGTTGTAATGAGCTTAATGGTGTCTTTCTGCTGCTGTTTCATGCTGATCTTCCTCTGCTCCTCTTTGCTTTTCAGTGTCCCACTCTCTATGAGGATCTCTTATGGTCCCTCAGGGCTATCACTGTTCTGAGTGGCCACACTCCCTCAGGGGTGTCTTTGCCACAGTACCTCCAGGAGCTCTCCTGTTGGCATGGAACCTCTACTGCCCAGAGCACATCTATAGCCACGTTCCCTCTGTAAGTCTCTCAAACCACAGGTTCCTGTGTCTCCTGTCTCTGCTGTCTGACTCTTTATGTCTGCTCCAGCAGGAATACTCTGTGCTCCTGAGACCGGTAGAAAGTTTGGTGGTGTTAGAGTTTAGGATCTTTCCTATTGCTTCTTTCTCTCACGGAATTTTGCTGTCTGTCACGAAGAAACCATGACTGATAATTAGGAGAAACGAAAGAAGTTTCCACAGGAAGGGTACAGCTTGCCACTCTCTTAGCTGGGGGATTTCTCTTGGAGGGCAGATATACCACGAGAATTGGGGTGGGGAAAAAGGGGGCTAGGATGGCTCCTAGCTCTCTTGCTCTCTTGACTTCGGAGGAGGATGGTGAGCTGCTGTCTGGTGGGGAGTCCAGCCCTGCCCTGTTTTCTCATGCCGTGGGTGAGCCTTTTCTCGTGAGAGCAGCCATTGAACTGGGACCTTATTGGCACCCTGCCTCACTGTAAAGGACCCTTGCCATCTGCTCGGGTGTCTCAGGGGGAAAAACTGATACACCAATCCTCTCTCCCCTTTCCTGGAGGGTGTGTCTCCCTGGCTGCATGCAGCAGCTGCTGCACAGCCCTGCTGCTTTCTGCTGCTGCCTCAGGCTTTTTCAATGCACTCTGACTCACACCTCCTGCCTGCTGGGACACCCCATGGCCCCTGCAACAGCTGCTGATTGACATGACTCCGGTCTTTGAGCCATTTATGGACTACATTAGTGATTGTTCAGGAGGCTGTGTATATGTATTCTCAGGGCTGCTGGGGCTCCCAAGCATGTTCTAAGGCTAACAGAGGCCATTACTTCTGCAAATTCATGGCAGCCTCTTCAGCATATAACTTGTCGTATGCTGGGGCATTTT